TTTGAAATAGAAGTAGAAAGACAGAGTTATACAAAGAAAGTCTAAATTGAGTAAGAAGAATATGATTAAGATAATTTTTGTAACCTCTTTCAATAATGAATTTCAACCAAACCTAATTAATCTTACATTTCTAGCACAACATATAATTTTAGAGAACTTGTCATTAAAGATACATATAATCAGAAGTAAACTAAATATAATCATCTACTAGGTTTAGGTAAAAATAATGCTTTTGATTTAATTTTTGGACAGGTAATATGCATATTATTGAAATTTTAAAATTTCAGAATTGTTTCACAACCGTGTTCTCCATCTACCTAGTTCCCACCTACCCTACACTCAGACAGCCACACACATAACATTCTTTTCTTTTTTCTTTTCTTTTTTTGAGGTAGGGTCCCACTCTGTTGTCCAGGCTGGAGTGCAATAGCACTATCATGGCTCATTGTAGCCTCAACCTCCCAGGCTCAAGTGATCCTTCCACCTCAGCCTCCTGAGTAGCTGAAACTACAGGCTCACACCACCACGCCCAGCTAATTTTTTCTTTTTTTTTTTTTTTAAGAGACAGGGTCTTACTGTATTGCCTAGGCTGGTCTCAAACTCCTGGGCTCAAGCCATCCTCCCCTGGATGGCCTCTCAAAGTGCTGGGGTTATAGGTGTTAGCCACCACACCTGGCCGTGATATCATTATGTGCCCATGTAAGGATAGTTTGTTTAACATATACCAACACATTTTTCTTTCCTAGGAAGTATTGGGTTGATACAAGTCTTAATGTAGTTTTTCTTGTCTCTTTTTATGCAAAAGGTAGCATACTGCAGACACTGTTGTGCCATTGCTTTTCTTTCCCCCACTTAACATTATTTGTTTCTTGGAGATCTTTTTAAATCAGTGCATGGACGCTTTCCCTTTCTCCTTACTTACAGCTGTGGAGTATTCCAGTATATGGAGCTACTATAATTTACTTAACTAGTCTCCATTTGATGAATATTAGTGTTGTTTCCAATAAACATTTCTGTAGTGAATAATCTTATGTAGGGTCATTTCACAAATATATCCATGGAGATAGAATTGATAGCCAAAGGAATAATTAGTAATTTTGGTAGATATTGCCAAAATGCCCTACATAAAGTTTATAGTAACATGCATTTAACAGTAATACATAAAATATTTATTTTCTCTTTGATGTTATCAAACTTTAGTCTTTCATGTGTGTGAATGAATGAAGAAAAATGATATCTAATTTTTCCCACTGTTTTTCTGTTTTACGATTTTCTACTGGGCTGTTTGTGTTTTTCTTTTCAACTTAGACTCTTTTGTATTAGGAAGATAAGACCTTTATTAGTAGTGTGAATTACAAATATTTTTATCTTGTCATTTGACTTGCTTATGGTGACTTTTGCCACAGAAGTTTTATTTTTATGTACCTGAATTTACCAATATTTTCTTTTATGGCTTTTGGATTTGACTCATAGTTTAAAAGGTCTACCGTATTCAAGGTCATTAAGAAAGTATCCTGTTTTTCTCCTGGAGCTTGGGTAGTTTTTGGTGTTTACCTTTACATTTTTTATTCATTTGAAATTTGTCCTGGTATAAGATCGGTTTTCCCCTAAAATGCTGCCCAGGTAGCTCAACATCAAATATTGAACTGTCCCTGTTTTCATTCCACTCTGATTTATAATGCAATTTTTATCCTATATATATTTAGATCTATTTCTGAACTTTCTTTTTTTTTTAACATACATATTTTTACATGTTCCAACTCTTAGAAATGTTCCATTCTGTTTCTGTTTTTAGGCTCCTTTTAGGTACCTGCCGTGGTTAATTTTTTATTTTAAACATGGTTTTTCCTGTTAACAAAGTTTGCATTAGTTGCTTCCTTGAGCAACACCTTTAGAAATCTAAATGTGTTTGAAATGATGTGAAAATATTATTCATATCAGAGCTCATTCTGTAAAAGCTGAAATCTTATGGAAAAAAAATCTATTTCATGTGAAATCCCCTAAATCCCAGGGAACCTCCATATACTCAGACCAAAAATATTTTTTGATTATACATAATGTATTTTAAAGGGATGAATGGATCAATTGGGCAAAGAGTTGAAAGAAAGTGTTTTAGCTCTTCTTCTGAATCTCCTAGTGTGATTGCTGAGACACTTAACCATAAGTTGCATTTATTGCAGGGCAGTTTTGCCACTTAAAAAGATACTTTTAATTGGAAAAAGCAAGCTGGTTATATAATTGTAATTGCAGGATTATAATGAAAATATCAGGCCGGCAGGTTTTACATAATCACATGCAAAGTCATGTGTGAGAGTAGAAACAGGGAAGGGCAGAGATATGTCTGATGATTTACTCTCTGTGGGGTGTACAAAGATTTCTGGTGCAGTTTAATCTGGAAGATTATATAGCTGAGAATAAGAGATCGAATCAATATCCTTGAGACACCAGAATCTCATGAGTCAGTTGCAAGCATCAGGTAAATAGCCTATACTTAATACTGGATAACTTGCTCATGTTTTATTTCTGACTTTCCTTAATCCAGCAAGGTCTGTTTGAAAAGCTTGGAATTAGTATTTGTTTAAACAGGGAAGCACTGGAACCAGCTGGCATTCTGTAAATGAAATCAATGGAACAGAAACTTGAAAATTTTTTCCCTTGATTATTTTGCTAGGTTGTCACTACAAATGGCCAAAATCCTAAATCAGCTCTTTCATTCTTCCCAAGGAAGTCATCAACACTAGCATTCTACACTGTTTAATGAATTATTTTCCAAACATACATTGTTTACTGTAAACAAGGGTCTTTATAAGAATACTATGACTATTTGACATTTAGGTAAGAGTTCTGTAGTACTCTGGAAAAAAGAGAAAGCAACTTCAGTACTATCATAACCTGGCACAGAACTTAAGTCTTGGGTGAAGCTTACATATGAAATTGGAATTAAAAGAGAAATCAAAGTTACTCTTCAAGTTTTGGACAGGGTATTTCTATTCTTTAGAATATCGATCCTGAAATTAGAGTGAATACATCAAAAGTGCATGTTTAGTTTCTTCATTGGAAGCATAAGTTCATCCCCTGGGGAAAAATATCATTAATTGTATGTTGAATAGTTTTTGCCCATAAATAGCAATGTGTATAAAGGCAAATACATGAAGTCAAGATTAATTTTAAATACTTCCTCAGTAAATGTATATCTCTTTATTAGTCATCTAAAAGAAGGGAAAAAGCATTACTGAGAAAATCTCCAAATTTGTTTTTTTAAAAGTTTATTAAATATGAGCATTGAGTTACTTTCTTGAATAACATGATTGACCCATGTGTGAATTTTTTTCTAAGAATAAAGGAATGGGTTAATCAAAGTTGGAACTAGAAGGCTGGATGATTTAAATGCTATGCTTATTTAAATATTCTATTATACTCTCAAAATAGTACATCATTGGGCTTGCCTGCACAATAGTGAAACAACCTACATGAGGTAACTTATAATAATGCTACAGTAACCATGCAGTTGAGAAGTGAATACATGGTTAGCATTGATGAATGAAGAAATAATTGGAGGCAGGGTGTGGTGGCTTATGCCTGTAATCCTAACACTTTAGGATGCTGAGGTGAGAAGGTCACGGGATCCCAGGAGTTCTAGGCCAGCCTGGGCAATATAGTGAGACCACCATCTCTACCAAAAAAGCCCCGAAAAACAAAAGTCACTGGACTGATGGGGAAAGAGACAGAGCAACTGTAAAGTTGCTAGCATGAGGAACAAGAATGAGTGCATGGATGGGTAGCAGGTGGTGACTCTGTGGCAAAGCAAAAGCAGGGATTATAATTTATTTCTGTTTATAACCATCAACGCCTAGTTTGGCTTTCATTGTTTGCTGATTTTGTTGCCTGGGCAGCTTGAATCTCTCTGATTCCTTTTTAGTTGTTCTTCATGAAGCCTACATGTGAGAAATGAAAATTGAAAATGCATTTTTTAAAAAGGAAAATAAAACTGGTATAAAATCAAATTACTCTGGCCCATGTATAATAAAATACGATTGCATTAATCCTTCTTTCCTAATTATTTCATTCTAGGGTTTGTGGATTTTTTTTTTAATTAATGAATTTACTAAGCACCTTTTATGCTTAAGGGAATGACTTTGTCTCTAATTTTTCAGCAAATTATTTTTTGTGTGTGACAAAATGTAGGTTCATTTGCATGTAACATTTAAGTGTATATTAAATTTCTAATATGACTCAGGTCACAAAATTTCAGAAATGAGAAAGACAACCTGAACTGTCAGCTCAGGAAAGTTTGTTGTTGTTTTTTTTTTTTTTTTTTTTTAGACGGAGTACAATGGCATGATCTTGGCTCACCAAAACCTCCGTCTCCTGGGTTCAAGGAATTCTCCTGCTTCAGTCTCCTGAGTAGCTGGGATTACAGGTGCCCGCCACCATGCCCAGCTAATTTTTTTTATTTTTAGTAGAGATGGGATTTCGCCATGTTGGCCAGGCTGGCCTTGAACTCCTGACCTCAGGTGAGCCTCCTGCCTTGGCCTCCCAAAGTGCTGGGATTACAGGTGTGAGCCACTGTGCCCTGCCAGGAAAGTTTTCCTGAAAGAGACTAGTCAGTTCCTTTCTCTCTTTCTATATATTGCCTATAATTTCCCAGGAATCAGAAAACTGAATTTTTCATGCCTAGAAATAAAGGTCAGGACTTAAAGGATTCAGGAATTTTATATATAATTTTGGGATTACTGCTTAATTTGTCACAGGGGGCACTCTGAAAGTGTGAGGTGTTTGTGTGTGTGTTTCACACCAATTATTTTTCTGGGCCTTTTCTTTCCTGAGTTAGTGGCTGAAGTTGCCTTAGAGGGAAGCAGAGGTGGCACAGAGAAAGGCTAGGATTAGGTCTAAACAACAAAGCAGTGGTTGCAGAGGATTCACTGCAGCCTCTGGATCTGGGGATGGGCCTTACAGGTGACAGCCTGTCTAGGGAAGCAGTTAGAAAATGCCATTATCTGATTCGTCTGTAGTTCATGAGCATGATCATTGGGTGTTCATAACGTGTGGGATGTGCCACCCTCTGAACCTTGTTCCCACATTGGCATATTACCTATCTAACCTAAAAAGAAAAACAGTGTTGCTCTTCTAAGGTGTGAGGGCAGTTGAAATTAGAAGGGAAATCAGCACAGCATAGAAATGACAAAACACCTTGGTTTTCAGGAGGAACAGGGTGAGGGTCACATACATTTGAACTAATGGTGAAATTCTTTCATTTCTGAATATCTTACCTCTTTCACATCTGAATGTCTTACCTAACAGGCTCCCTGGATTCTTTTTCTGCTCTTTGGAACCTCATGGTTTATGTCTTAGATTTCTTCTTTCCATCAATTACTAAAAGCACAGAAACAGACATTCCTGACTGCTCATTTCTAGGAATGATCTTGAAAGAGAGCCTGTCATGTTCAGAGTCCAGTCTCCTGCAATCTACTCACATTTCTGCCTCAAATGTCTCTCTAAAGTCCAAGGTACAACTCTGAATTCTAGGAATTCTCCAGTCCTTTGCTGTAGTTCTGGAATGAACATTTGCCAGAGTCAGTTCTCAGGTCAGTCTCAACAAAAATACACATTCTAAAGCACCCTGTGCAAACTGTTACACTGTGGGAATCTGTCTTCTAGGTCTGGATTTTCTAGAAATGAATCTTTGGTAATGTTAGCAAATTTAGGGTCACAAGGTATCTGCCAAATCTTACCTCTGTCGAGCATTTTGTGCTTAATCTATTCATTTAATTTTTCTTACAATTAATTGTAAGAAAATTGTAAGAAAATCTAATTACAGTTGAAAAGCTGTGACAATGTACTATGGTCAATATGTCACCCTTACCCTCCTTTAATGAATATCATAGTGTGAATGATATGTTCATGGTGCTAAGATATTTTATTCTTCCTCTGAGGAAAGTGTTATAATGACCTTACTTTTGGGGGGAGAAACATGGGTTGCTGCTTATTCAACATGCTTTTAGGTTTGACTTGCTATCAAACGTTTTCTTCTTTCAGACTTTAGTGTATTTTCTTCACTGACCATATATTACAGACATATATTACTATCATAAAAAATCATCTGCATAAAAACATCTTGCCCTCACCCAAATCAACAAAAATGGACAGTTTAAAAATGATATATAAACACACATAATGTAATTTTTAAGTAAAGATTCATAGAAAAGTTTTAATAATAGTGAGATCTGATGTTTGCCTAGGACTTTACCATTTCATAGTTTTCACGTATTAGAGGTAGAATAGTTTAGTAGTCAGAAGTCAGACAGCTCAAATCTTGGCTCTGCCACTTACCAGATATGGTTTGGGCAAGGTATTGACCTCTCAGCCTCAGTTTTATCTATGTACCTATTTCCTCAGGTCATCATGAGGATTTGGTGGGATAGTGCATAGAATGTGCTTATAGGGACTGGATTATGCAAATGTTCACTTCACATTACTTATTTTCTTTTTCTTTTAAACCACAACACTCTTAAGAAAAAGCAGGGCGTGTAAGATTATCTTCACTTTACCAGAGAGGAAAATAATGTTCAGAGAGATTAGGTGAAATGACAAGTAATTCTTTGATTTTAAACTGAGTTTCCATTGCAGTCTTAATGGCAAGACTGGAAAGAGGAATCCGGTGAATTCCCTGGGCCCTTAGGGTGCAGCCAACACACGGGGATCCTGAAACACCTGTTGATCCACTCTTGTGGGGTTAGAACCCCCAAAGATCTGAGACTGTCAGATCTTCTGTATCGTCACATAGGTAAAGGCTTTAAGTTCAACTTGAGTGGAACGTTAACAGGGTAGGTTCAAATCATTTTTCAGGTGTTTTGGGGCCTGGAGTGGGGAGGTGATGAAGAGCAATTGTTGTAACTCCAGTAACTTTCTCATTTCTAAGTGAAAATTACTTCTCTGAGAATTTCTGTGAGTAGGTAGCCTGTAAAAGCTACTTTCAAGGCTTGGCTTCCTTTTAATGTGGCTTTGCAAAGGAGGCACACAGGCCTTCACACCACAGAGTGCTGGCTGGCCCTAGCCTTATTTGGCCGGGAGATACGTTGATCCAATGACTTTATAGGAGGCTCATCTTTTAAAGCTACTTGAAAAGTAACGCCTCTCATCAGCTTGTGACAAAGATGCACTCTGCCATTTCTTCCTAGCAATTACATTTTCTGTTTTAAATTAACATCACCTCACAGCATTTTTTTACCATTCTTTGGCATTTAATCCAGTTTTCTTCTCCCTAACAAACAATTTTAAAAACACACTCATTCCCTTTAAAATGAACTGAAACATTAAAATGTTTCCTAGGAACATATTCAGTCCTCATTCTATTGTTGTTTCTTGCAAAAATATCCTTGGATTGCTCAGCTTTGAGAGAAACTATGAAAATGAAAAATTCCCGATAAGCAAAGGGGGATAATTTACTTTATAAAAGAATTCTTTTCTTTGTGCTGGCATGTGTAATAAAAAGAAAGAAATACAGATTCTTTATTCACTGATGGGTTCTGTTAGCAATACATTTAATTTTCAGACACAAAATGTTAGGAGTAAGTTGACTACCAAAATCTCTGAAATTGTGTGGTTGAGAAGATAATTTAAAATGCAAACATTTGATACATACCAAAGTTTTCAGTGATACAGCTATTTGGCAACCTCAAAGTGGAATCTACAGAGATAGTCTGGAAAGCCAGTGTTAAAAGATTGATAAAATCATGTCTTTGAATTGTGATGAAAACATAGTTTCGAGAACTTAATTCTAGAAGAAAATAAGCTGGGAAGGTAAGGTTTAAAAGCCAGACCACAGATAGAGAAGTACTTCACATAGGCACAATAATCTTCAAGGAATTCAAGGAACAGATAAATGTATTGGATATTTATTTCTCTTTTTAACAATTCTAAGAAGCTATCCCATAACTACCAAATGCCACACAAGCATAGCAGCTTTTATCCAATTGCTGTATGTCCTTGGGCCTGTTTTTACAATAACAGAAATGTTAGTTTTGCTGTTCACATACAAACGCCAATTTAGCTAATTAAATCTCAGCCTTAATATGATTCCTACTGGAATTAAAGAAAGATACTGCACACATTATTTCCTGCCCTGACCATTTGAGTGTTGCTGACAGCAGTTAAAAAGGCACCACAGTCCTTTGATGTGGCATTGCCAGGTTTAAGAAAAACGATGCCCGGCAAATGGGGCAGAGAACCTGGAAATCGTTTAGGAATGAGATACAACAGGAGTGGATATGTGTGCGCATACATGCAGGTAGAAATATATGTCTTTGGTATTTACCCACAACTTGTTACAGAACATAGACAGCTAATTTTCTTTAAAATAGGCAGCTGTCAAAACCAGATTAAATTCCTAATGTCTCAACCTTGATGATAATTCTGTGTGTGTCAACTGCAGGCTATGAAATTTATTTTTTTAAAATGGTTTACAGAACAGCAAAAACGATAGATTATTCATATTCTACCCTGCCCAGTTCTAATCCAAATCCCTGGGGAGGTTGAGATGAACTGTATCCCCCAAATCAAGACATCTATAAGGAAACTGAATTAATGTTAAGTGTTGTGATTAGCATTTTTAAAAAAAGCAATCAGAGCTCTTGGAATTAGTTTTTCTATCAAGTTTTATCCCTAGTACGAAATTCAGATGCAGAGTTTGGGACTTGGGCAAGGTAGGATTGTATTTTCCAAACAAGGCAGCAACCCCCTGCCCGTTTAACACTGTGATAGCGGCACTCCTTCATCAAGAAGTGGGGCCAGTAGATCATTTCATTGAAGATGGGTGGACCAATGGCGGGGCACAAGGGTTGCTATATGACGTCCAAAGCATAAGTCACACAGTGTGATACAGTTTCTGATGGGATCACTTTCTTGGGAGTGTGTGTCTTGGGAGCGATGGCCAACATGTAAGATGAGTAGCCAGCCTGAAACCATCATGCTGGAGAGAATGTGTGGAAAAGCTCCATAGAGATGGTAGAGTTAAAGATACCCGAGTAACCCCGCTGTTCTAGCCTCCAGCTATTCAAGTCTTCTCCTACCACCAACCTCCAGACAAGAGATCCAGCCTTCAAATTATTTCACCCCAAGCCTTTAAGCCAGCCCTAGCTGATGCTGAGGGCAGCAAAGACCAGCCATTCCCATGAAGCCCTCCTCAAATTGCAAAGTGGTGAGCAAAATAAGCAGTGTTGGCACGGTCGCTCACCTGTAATCCCAGCACTTCGGGAGGCTGGGATTGCTTGAGCCTAGGAGTTTGAGACCAGCCTGGGCAACGTGGTGAGAACCCATCTCTACAAAATAAATAAATAAATAGGTAATGTCATCCTAAGTCACCAGGTTCTTCGATGGTCTGCTATGTAGCAGTAGATAACCAGAACATTAGGATTTGGAAAAAGCTCTGTTACAGTTAAATGCTAAGTATAAGTAAATATACCCATAGGGTCATTTGATCAGTTGATTTATTTGATCAGCAAATAAACTGTAATTTAAATTACAACTTTATTGTTGGAGTTGATGCAGAAAATTATCTTGATAAGATCTGCTGACATACATGGAAGTAAGTGTTGGCTGCGGGGTCTCTAAAAAGACTTCTGAAACTTAACCGTAGTCTCAAGTCACAATTTCCCTCCTTCCCTCCTTTCTTCCTCGTTCGTTCTTTATTTGCTTTCTCCCCCTTTCTCCAGGAAGTCTTTCTCTGTTGCCAGACTGGAGTGCAGTGGCACGATCTCGGCTCACTGCAACCTCCGCCTCCCAGGTTCAAGTGATTCTCCTGCCTCAGTTTCCTGTGTAGCTGGGACTATAGGCACTTGCCACCATGCCCCGCTAATATTTGTATTTTTAGTGTAGAGAGATGAGGGTTCTGAGGGTTCACCATGTTGGCCAGGATGGTCTTGATCTCTCTCTTTTTTTTTTTTTCTTTGCAAAATCCTCCCACACTTGAGGTCTTGATCTCTTGACCTTTGACCTCGTGATCTGCCTGCCTTGGTCTCCCAAAGTGCTGGGATTACAGGCATGAGCCACTGCGCCTGGCCTGACTTCTTAACTATAATCATTAAGTTAATAAAAAGGCAGAGGG